GGCAGGAGAACATGTATTTACCAAACACCTGAGTTACCAGAGGGACCAGTGGGTTCTGACTGGACAAGGCAGACCGACCAGGCAGCTCCCAGAGATGACTGTCAGTAGGAGGAGGCCAAAGCGAATTTCACTGCGGTTCCGGTTCTGGGACTCCTTCAACAAGAAAACCTGGATCTCCAAAGAACACAGGAGGATAAAATGAGCCCAGAAACAATGAGACAGAAACAGAGTTGCACTTACTTGAGCTCTGTTAATATTCCACCCTGCTCTCTCCCTCCTTCCTTCTCTCCCCCACCCTTCTCTCCCTCTCACAAACTTGGCACAAATAAACCTACCAACCAAGCCAGCATTGGGACGGGGCAAAGCTGGGCCTGCCTTTGAGTCATTGATTTCTTTCTTCTCTCCAGTGTTTCCAGGCCCGAGCCCCTATGTCAGGGCCCAGCCCCTTTCTGCCTAGATCTGCCTGCTCAGTCTGAGTGGGCCTCTCTTGCTTCCATAGACATGTTCCTCTACTTATACTAAGGTCATCTGTGTTTTTTCTCTGCCCACCCCCCACTGAGTTTATGACATCTTCCTCCACCAAAACCCCTCCCAGTCTCTTACAGGACGGGCTCCATTTGTCCATGAAATCAGAACACTCTCCAGTCTCTTGTGGGTGACATGAAGAAGTACCCCAAGTTTGCATGTCACGTTGAAGTCATTTCATGTAGACCCACATGGAGAACCACATCACATGCAACAGCAGAGTCAGAGAAACCTAGAAATCCCCTGGGCCCCCCTTTGCAATACATAAATGAGGAACCTGCAGCCCAAGCAAAGCAACTTGACCAAAACCCCATGGCTAGATAGTAGCAGAGCCAGAATAAAAATTCCTAGTTTGGTTCATTTTTTAGATATTTTGCTTTTCTAACAGTGACATTTCAGGCACTTGAAAAATATACATGTATGGGAAAATATATACTATATAAACTTCTCAGAGCATTCCACTCACACATGTAGGCCCAGCCTACTTCTCTGTGCCAAGACTCCTCTGTGTCCGGTGCTGTGTTATGAGATCTCAATCATCTGACAGAGGTAAGGGCCAGCTCAAGTTAGGGGCACAAACACAGAGCAGGGTCAGATGGGGTCACCCTGTTCCCAACTGGCAGGCAGGACAGTAAAAGAGGCCATCAGAGCCCAACACAAAGTTCAAAGACAGGCCAAACTGAACTCTCTCATAAGGACACATGCTCTACCAGACAGGGTTCAACTAGAAAACCAGGACCATGGGGACGAGGGAGTTGTCATAGGGACTTGACCATACACAACTGTGGAAGCTGGTTGAATAGTCTAGGTCAACCTGGAAGTGGCAAGACAGACAGACGAGAAGGAAAGATGCACATGAAGTGGAGAAGAGTGAGGACAAGCTGGTATTATGAAGACAGACAAATCTGTGTTGATCTCTCAGGGCCTCCAGGTTCAACATCTGGATGGCCTGCTGGAGAAGCTGGGGCCACACATCCCAGAGGTAAGCACACACCTGGCTCAGGAGCCGGAGGGTCTGCCAACCCAGCCGCTGCCCCACACCAACAAGAGGAGCCAGCAGAGAAGCAACAGTGTGCAACAGTGACTGATGCCTTGCGCTGACCTTCTAGAGCATAAAAGAATGCAGCTTCAGCTCCACTTCCACCTTCCAGATCTCACATAAATGTCTCCTCTGGCCAACACTAATGTGGAACTATGCAAGGAAGGGAGTTTGGGGGAAAATAGCTCCAGCTTAACTGTAATAAATTGACTCAGAACAAACCGTTCAGACAAATATAAATGCAGACTCTAAAAAAGTGGAATGGTTGCCACAAAAATTTGGTGAATGGTCATTGAAGGTTTCAGTCATCAGGGAGAATATGGGGGCTTTGAGGGTACTGATAATATTCTCTTTCTTTACCTCAATCACAGATACCCGGGATTTGTGGTATTATTAATTCTTTACATAAGAATTAATTCTTTACAAAGAAACATAACTTTTCTACAACCTACAGTGTGTATACTAGTCACAATCAAAAAATGCTGTCATCATTAAAATAAAAGAAAAAATATGAAGAAAATTATCAGAAGAATAGAAGGATGGTTCCGGTCATATCAAGGAGTTACTATAAGGAATCAAATGAAGACTTCTTCATTCCCTAGTGTTGGGGTCAGAATTCACCAGATTAGATGATACTGTCATCCATCACTGGGAAGAGAGTAAATAGGTACATCTTTCAGAGAAGACAGTTTGATTATATCTATTTTAGTACACACACCCTCTGATCCAGGAATTATACTTCTAGAAAGCCATCCTGCAGAAACAACCATATAGGTAGACAAATGTGTACAGGATATTGGTGGCAGCATTATTTATAGAACTCAAAGCTCAGAAACAACCTAAATATTCATTGACAGGGAAATGGTTAGATAAACTGCAAAGGTACCTCCATGCATGGAGTGTGCAGAATGCAGTGGTGTAAACACAAATTAAAAGATGATGTTAAGTGAAAGAAGCCAGAGTAGAAGACCACATATTGTATTACTTAATTGACATAAATATCCAGAAAAGACAAATCGACGGAGACAGAATGCAGATGAGTGGTTACCCAGGGTTGGGGGTGGGAACAAGGAGCGATTACAAAGAATAAGGGTTCTTCGAGGGGCCAGCAAAACATTATAAATTTGAATTGGGATAATAGTTGCACAACTCTTAAATTTACTAAAGATCATTAGATGGTAGACTTAAAACAGATGACTTTACAGTAGATAAATTATACCTCAATAAAGTGTTAAAAAAGAATTTTAAATCCCAGTCAGGGCACATGCCTAGGTTGCAGGCCAGTTCCCAGCAGGGGACACACAAGAGGCAACCATACATCGATATTTCTCTCCCTCTCTCATTCTCTTCCCCTCTAAAGATAAATAAATAAAATCTTTAAAAAAAAGAATCTTAATAGAGAATAAGAACATTATATGAATGTATGTGGAAAGATCTTCAAGAAATAATGTTGAGGACTTCCGCCAAGATGGAGGCGTAGGTGGAAGCATTGTGCCTTCTCGCACAACCAAGTTTAAAAACAACAAAGTTTTAGCAACAAAAACACAGCCAAACCACAGAAAATTGAACTATAAAAAAGTCCAACAACAATGAACCCTTCAGCTAAACCGGTAAGAGGGGCAGAGCCAGTAGCAGAGTGGGGTCGGGCAGGAAAGATCCAGCAGACTGACTTGGGTGTGGGCCAGCAGCTGTGGGCGGATCCCAGGTGTGGAGTAGCAGTGGGTGGATCCACTGAGGGCGCAAGGCGGTGGACCCACTGAGGGTTGACCATGGTCACATATTCACTTGCAGATAAACCAGTGAAGAAGCCATCAGTGAGACGGACTGCGCAGGCCCCAGTGGCAGGAAATGGCAGAGGAGACCGCCATTGTCCCTCTCTGACCCACCCCCAAATACAGTGTCACAAACCAGAAACCTAGGTGGCCCCGCCCTGGTGAACACCTAAGGCTCTGCTCCTCATACAGAACAGGCAAGAACAGACCAAAACATGGCTCAAGAACAACTCAGAGCCCCAGAGCCGATAAATCTAAGCAATGAAGAAATAGCCAAACTTTCAGGTGCACAGTTCAAAACACTGGTGATCAAGATGCTCACAGAACTGGTTGATTTTAGTCACAAATTAGAGGAACATATGAAGGCTAAACTAAATGAAATGAAGGGAAATGCACAGGAAACCAATAGTAATGGAAAGAAAACTGGGACTCAAATCAAAGGAGTGGACCAGAAGGAGGAAAAAAAATGACCAAACAGAAAAGGATGAAGAAACAAGAATTCAAAAAAATGAGGAGAGGCTTAGGAACCTTCAGGACATCTTTAAATGTTCCAACATCCTAATTATAGGGGTGCCAGAAGGAGAAGAGGAACAGCCACGAGTGCAAAACTTATTTGAACAAATAATAAAGGAGAACTTCCTCAATCTGGCAAAGAAAATAGACTTCCAGGAAGTCCAGGAAGCTCAGAGAGACCCAAAGAACTTGGACCCAAGAAGAAACACACCAAGCCACATCATAATTACATTAGCCAAGATTAAAATGAAGGAGAGAATCCTAGAAGCAGCAAGAGATAAGGGGACAGTCACCTACAAAGGAGTTCCCATCAGACTGTCAGCAGATTTCTCAAAAGAGACCTTACAGGCAAGAAGGAGCTGGAAAGAAATATTCCAAGTCATGAAATCCAAAGACCTACAACCAAGATTGCTCTATCCAGCAAAGCTTTTGTTTAGAATGGAAGGACAGATAAAGTGCTTCTCAGATAAGATCAAGTTCAAGGATTTCATCATCACCAAGCCATTATTATATGAAATGTTCAAGGGACTTACCTAAGAAAAAGAAGATAAAAAAGATAAACAGTGAAAGGACAGCAAACTCACAGTTATTAAGAACCACACCTAAAACAAAAGCAAACTAAGAGGACAGCTAGATCAGGAGCAGAACCATAGAAATGGAAATCACATGGAGCGTTAGCAACAGGGGAGTGGGAGAAGGAGAAGGAGGGAGAAGGTACAGAAAATAAGTAGCATAGACAGTAGGTAGAAAATAGATAAGGGGAGGGCAAGAATAGTAGGGGAAATATAGAATAAAGAACTTGAGACACATGGTCATAAACTAAAGGGGGGAATGGTGGGGGAGGGGTGTGCAGGGTGGAGAGGAATGAAGTGGGAAATAGAACAACTGTAATGGCATAATTAATAGAATATATTTTAAAAAATAAAAAATTTTAAAAAAGAAATGATGTTGAGTGAAAAGGAAAGCACAACAGCATGTGTTGTAAATGTCTTATCCATTTGTGTAAAAAACATTATAAGATATATGGAGTTATAAATATTCAGGAAAATATCTGGGAGGGTATACACCAAGCTGTTAAAAGGAAGTATTGGTCTGGGGGAGGGGGTTGGTAGCATTGTATTGACACAAATACAAATGTGCATCCAAGCTGTCTACTCATTTTCCTTACTGCGGGGCCTGGCATTGGGGTTGGTGACCCTGATGGCCAGCTGGGCTGCTCTGTCTACTATGGCTTTGCAGTTCTTGGAGGAGACCTTGTGAGCAGTCTCAGCGCAGTAAGACTTACTGCACATCAAGACTTACTGCACAGCACTCCAAGCTTCTTGACATTGTGGACCAGGAATTTCAGAAAGCCTCTGGGCTGCATGGGCTTTGTTTTCTTGTTGCTCCCATAACCAGTGCTGAGGATCAAGATCTGGCCCTTGGAAGACTATACTTCCAGCGATCACTTCTATAGTTTGTTACTAGAGAGGTTTCTCTGAACATGTAGTGTACCCAAAACCACGAGGAAGAGATGGAGTGTGTTCTCCTGAGTGTGAAGCCAGCTCTTGGTGTTGCTTCAGTAACTGCCATTTGCCATTGATGACCATTCTTCTCTCTCTTTTGAGAGAGCAAGAGGGAAAGAATACTGTCTAAGTGGGAAAAAAATCTGGCCTTTGAATCTTCTACACATTCTATCGTCAATGGCTCTGGGTTCCCACCAGTTACACTTACTTTTCACATATCTGTCTGACTGGTACCAGATGAACTTCTTGGTCTTCTTTCTGATAATCTTGGCCTTCACAAAGGGGTTGAGGGTAGCCAAGATGCCAAGTAAGAGGTGGCTGTCACCTCCATAGTCAGCGCCAAGGGGACAAAAAAGGAGTTACTGTTAAAGAGAAGAGTCGAAGGATAGAATAATGTTCATGATTGATTTGTGCCATTTTGCATTGTTTCCATTAGGTTGGGGCAGGATTCTTCCAAAAATGGGGGGACTGAGGCCTGACTGTCAGTGGATGGGCCCTTCCAGGCCAGCAGTCATAGACATCCTTACAGAAGGCAGATTAGGCTTTGCAGGTGTGCCCACTTCTGTGTCTTTATATTTTCTCAGTGAACAGTATTGGTCTTTTTTTAACCTCATTTCCTGGTAAAGTTGCTTTTGAAAAACATCAGCTTAGTCTCAAATGAGTTAAGCACTGAGGGGCCAAAAAAGAACTAAGAAGCATCGAAGATTGTGGAGCACTCCATATTTTAAATCAGCTCCTTGTTTAAAATACAGCTTTATAGACACCCCTGAATGGATCAGGGTCCTGGGAGGAACCAGATAGCATGCTGGAACTGGGCAAGGAGAGAGTTTCATCAAATTCATGAGAATTGAATAAAGGCACCTTTAATGAAAATGTGGGAAAGGTTTGAGGAAGGTAGTGAGCAATGGTGCAGAACCCCAAGGCCAGTAACTGTTGGGAGATGCTACTCTCCCCTACACCTAAGAAGCAAGATAAGAGAACCATTATGGGAGCCTGGAGAGAAAGCCGTGTGGTGAGGCCTGGTAGGAGCCAACCCTAGCAACCATCAGGGGCAGAGCTGGGAACATAAATGCCCTGATTTGAAGCTTCTGCCCCCACTGACATCCTGCCAGGGCTGTCACTGGCTGAGCTCAGAAACCAGAGCAGAAGGGAACAGAGGGAGTCCATACTGGTCAGCATCCCAGAGCATAGGGCTTGGTAGAGAAAGCCAGAAAGTGTGTCTGGAAGAATTCATGGAAGGTCTCCACCTCATCATCCCAGCTTAAGGTTGAGGTAAGAGTCCCAGTCCTGATCAATCTGAATGGTTCTGGGTATCTGGAGCCCCCAGATGAGTCTGATCAAGACTCAAGTTTAAAAACCACTGACCCAGCCCTGACTGGTGTGGCCCAAACCAGAGATGAGAAATGCCCTGTTAGAATTGTTTGTAAGGTTGATTCTTTCCCTTACCGGTATCTATTCTATTTTCTCTTTCTCTTCATGTATGTGTACACCTTCCACCTCTAAGAAACCACCCCCAACTCCTGACCCAAGGTGCCCATGTGCCTAAGATGGAACACAAGTGGGGGTGGCAAGGGTCTGTGGGAAGGAGCACAGATCACTGTCCCCTCCCCCAGCTTCTTCACAGGCAGGCACAAGGCACCTTCCCGGAGAAGACAGACACACCACTGATTTCCCAATAGAGCCTTGCAAAGTCTGGTGACAGACCTGTTTCCCTAGCTTAAACAACAGGGCCAGCTTCCTATCAAAGCTGGCTGTATGCCAAGCCACCCCAGAGGTTTGGTCAAACTCATGATTCCCACAAGGTAGTCTCTATTCCTCTACAGTGATAATACCAACTGGCATTTCCAAAGGACTTTCTTGGATGTTCAGCATTGTGCTAAGGGATTTAATACACTAGACTATACAGCTGGCTATGGCACTTTGGACACCTCTGACACTTGGGACACCTCTACTGCCCACTGCCTAATGTCACCTTGCCCAAGGGTCCAACTCAATTGCCAAAAATGCATGAGCATGACTCCCAGTGAGCTTCTGAAAGGCTCAAGGGTCTCCATCTCATAGTAGCCCCTAAGACCAGGGTCAGGGTTGCACAAAAACACTCTGTTTAAGGAAAGATTCTTCTAATTCAGCTGAGGGAATGTGCATATACTAAATGTGTTAGCCACACTGTACCCTGTATAATGGCACCCTCTTAGCTGTATAGTGTCAAACCTGCCCATCTATGAGTGGTGGCCCTGAACTGCTCCACCTAAATCTAGACTATCCAGGTAGAAGGCAGCTTAAAAGATTTACTTCTAGACTGACCTCCCCTTTGACAGGTAAGTGACTTGAGGCCCAGAGCAGGTGGACACTTGCCAACAGGTCTTGAACTATGAGTGACACAAGTAGTGCTAGACCCTGGTCCCCAGTTTCCCCGTTCATTGCCCTCTTCCCTACACCAAGAAACCCCCTTGCAAGTCGCTGGACTAACCCACAGGATGGATGGCAGGACCCATGAGATTGTGCCCATGACCTTTTTCTTCCAGTACCTGTAGATAAAGATTCAGAGGAAAAGAAAAGCCAAAAATGGAAACCAAGAGAATAGTCCTGAAGCTACTCCTTCATTTATTCGTATATTCTCATCCATCGCACGAAGCAGGTAAACATTTAGGGCTGGTTCAGTGGTGAACATGGACATGATAAGAGCTTCATGTGAGAGATCTTAATGCCGAGAAGCCATTCGACTGTCAGAGAGTGTGTTTTCTTGTTTTCCATTTGTAACAGCGTTATTGAGGTGTGATTGATATAACAAAAATAACTACAGCTATTTAATGGACACAATCTGATGAGTTTGGACATATGAATGAATGCATGATACCATCACAATAATCAAGATAATAAACATATCCATCAAAAGTTCCCTCACGTCCCCTAGTGTTTTTGGTTTTGGTTTTTGGATTTGCCTTTTGTTTGTTATAAAAACATTTAATATGAGCTCTATCCTCTTCAAAATTTTTCAAGTGTACAATACCGTGCTCTTAATTATAGGCACTATGTTGTTCAGCAGATCTCTAGAACTTATTCATCTTTGAGATACATTTTTTTATCCAGCAAATTAGAAAAGATTCAATTTTTTAATTGTACCAATGTTAGTGAGGAAATGGGGAAACTGAAATTCTAAACATGGTTTTTATTGGGAACAGAGGGATTACTTTTACCTAAAAACATAAAGAACATGTTAAAAGAAAAACTGCAAAATCTTGCTTAAACAAGGCATAATTTAAATAACAACCACTAATAAATAAGCACTGGAATGGAAGGCACCCAATAGTAACTTGAGGTGGTTACCAAAGTGGTGAGGGTACAGGCCCTGGGGCCAGATCCATGTATGCATATCCCAACTCTGACTAAACACTTGTGCCTCCATTTTCTCCTCTGTAAAATGGGCTGAGTATAGAACCAGCTTCATAGGGTAGTTTTAAGGATTAGATTAGTTAGTTAATACATACAAAACACTAAGCCCAGTAATAGAGCATGGTAAGATTTCAACAAATGTTAGCTATTGCCCTAACTGGCATGGCTCAGTTGGTTGGGCCCTGTCCCATAAAACAAAAGCTGACCAGTGTGATTCCCAGTCAGGGCACATGCCTGGGTTGTGGGTTCAATCCCCAACTAGGGCACGTACAAGATGCAACCAATCAATGTTTCTTTCTCATATCTTCCTGCTCCTGGTCCCAGTCTCTCTTGGAATCTCATGACTGTTGGGGGTCCACCCCTGGATCCTTCCACTAAATTCCCTTTAGGCTTTGACCTCTTTAAAGCAGGTTTCTGTTACTTACAACCAAAGAAACCTAGGCTAAGGCAGACAATATGATGCATTAGAAGAAATTAAAGGAATCCCGTATGGTCAAAACAAGGCTATTCCAGATATGGGGACGAGACAGGACTGGACCAATAGATAAGGCCAAACTGCAGAAGGCCTTGGGTCCTGTGCTAAGATGTTGGAAATTTATATCACAGGTATTGGGAGCTTTAAGCAGATGAGTAATGCCATCAGATTGCCTCCTGAGTGGTAGAAGCTCACGGCAGGAGTCTAATCAGGAGGTTATGGCAAAAATGGTGGGGGCCTGGGCAAAGCAATGACCATGGAGGTGGCGATAAGGGGGTGAGTTTAAGAGATTTTTAAGGGCAAACCAACAGCACTTGGTTACTAACTGGTAGGCAGTGAAAAGGGGGAAAGAATCTAAAAGAATTTTCAACCTACAGCTTGAACAAATGGTTAAAAGAAAGCAGTTTTGGGGGAGAAAACAGCAGCTTTAATTTTAGATTTATGGTGTAGGTACGAGTAGGTATGCCAGTGTGCACTGGACAAGCTAGCTCTGGAAGTGCAGGGAAAACAGCTAACCTAGAAACACACTTTCAGAGCTCATGCTCACAGAGATGCAGATCATTAAAGTCACATGAGTAGATAACATTACTCAGGGAAAGCAGATAATAGGGAAAGGGCAGAAAAAGAGGGAGACCGGGATCTGAAAGAATGTCAGCATTGAAGGCACTGAGAGAGGAAGAGGAGACTGCAAAGAAGGCAAAGATGCAGGTGGAAAACAGGGGCCCAAAGGAAATGGATCTTTCAGGAGGAGGAAAGACTCAGGGACATAGACAACAGTGTGGTGGTTGTGGGGGTTGGGGAGGGTAGTATAAGGGGACTAAGTGGTAATGGGGAAAAAATACAATAAAAATGTAAAAGTAAAGCAGAAGGAGGAAGTGTGGTGAGTAGGCAAATAGCATTCTCCTTCACTCCTTGTGGGAGGGAAGTCTGACCATCACTTTCCTGTTGAGCCCTTTGTTTACGACTAGTGTATGTGCACCCAGTAAGCAAGCTGGGGTTCAGCACCTTAGGAAACCTCTCAGGGACCTTCTTCCCACCTGCCACCTTGAAGCTCCTGGGCTTTCTTGCCAAGCTGGCCCTCCCCCCCTGCTCATCATTCAAGCCCATCCACCTGAGATGGAACATGCGTCTTTTGCTTGCATTGCCAAAATCTCCCAGCTTTTTTCATTTTCACTCCCAGCCCCATCTCCCTAACCCTCAGGCTGGTCTTAACCACCTGCTCCCATTCCCCCCACCCCCACTCTGAGTCAGATCTGTGGGCTTTACTCTTTCCCCAGGGGGATGAACTCATTCCCTCAAGGACCTTGATCTCTCATTCTTTTGCTCTGACTTGAACCCCCCCAGTGGGCCAAGGTCAGGTTCCAGCTGAGACTTTGCTAAATGGCACTCATCTTCCTTCCTTTGAGCAATAAGACTCAGACCTTAGCTGCAAAGTGGAGCAAAGATATAGGGCCGTTGCTTACCAGGATG